TCGCCTACGTCTTATGATCATAAAGAAAAGCATTCCAGAAATCTTTCGAGGAACGATATCTGATGATATCACTTTGGCTAAAGAGTTCCTTGTCGAGATTGAAAAGCGCTTTACCAAAAGCGATAAGGTGAAAATGAGTACTCTTTTAAAGACACTCATTACCATGAGGTATCTCGGCAAAGGTAACATAAGGGAGTACATCCTCAAGATGTCTAATATTGCTTCTAAGTTGAGGGCACTAAAGTTAGACCTTTCGGAGGACATGCTTGTCCTATTGGTCCTGCTCTCTCTTCCTACTCAATACGATCAGTTTAAGGTCAGTTATAACTGCCAAAAGGAGAAGTGGACTCTTAATGAGCTCATTTCTCACTGTGTTGAGGAAGAAGAAAGAATGAAGCATAAAAGGGCTGAGGAGGTACATATGGTTGGTACCTCGAAAGATAATGGTGGCTTTAAAAGAAAACATAAGGCCGTTAAGGTTGAGACTGCTAAAGGTCCAGATCCAAAGGTTAAACCGGAGGAAATTTTATGTTTCTTTTGCAAGAAATCTGGACACCTAAAGAAAGATTGTGCTAAGTATTCCGCCTGGCGCGTGAAGAAAGGTATATTCTTTAATCTGGTTTGTTCTGAAGTTAATCTAGTTTCAGTACCTCGAAACACTTGGTGGTTAGACTCCGGTTCAACTACTAACATCAGTGTTTCAATGCAGGGTTGCCTGAGCCGCCGAGAACCAACTGATGCTGAAAGACGCATTTACTTTGGAAATGGTGAATCGGTGGATGTGGAAGCTGTGGGAATATTTAAATTATTATTAAGTACTGGACATTTTATGGAATTGAAAGACACTTTTGTTATACCGTCTTTTAGACGGAGTTTGGTTTCTGTTTCTTATTTGGACAAATCTGGTTATTATTGTTCATTTGGAAACAATAAGGTTGTATTGTCTTTTAATTCTAATGTGGTTGGTTTTGGTACTTATATGGAAAATGATAATTTATATATGTTAAATACTATAACTTCCTATATTGAAACCCTCAATGTGGAATCAAAAGGTACTAAGCGAAAATTAAATGACTCAAGTTTGCTATGGCATAAACGTTTGGGTCATATTTCGAGAAATAGAGTTGAAAGACTCATTAAGGATGGAATTCTTGATTCTATTAATTTCTCGGATTTTGATGTTTGTGTCAATTGCATTAAAGGTAAACAAACCAAAGTAAAGAGGATAGGTGCTTATCGAGCTACGGAAGTCTTAGAGTTGATACATACGGATATTTGTGGGCCTTTTCCTACACCTTCATGGAATGGTCAAACATACTTTGTATCATTCATAGACGATTATTCTCGATATTGTTATCTATACCTCATATGGGAAAAATCTGAGGCCTTGGACATGTTCAAAGCATTTAAGGCTGAAGTTGAAAATCAACTCAGCAAACGCATTAAGATCGTCAGATCTGACCGTGGAGGTGAATATTACGGCAGAAATGATGGATCTGGTGAACAATGTGCAGGCCCATTTGCTAACTTTCTTAAGGAGTGTGGAATAGTTCCTCAGTATACTATGCCAGGTTCGCCTAGCATGAATGGAGTTGCTGAGAGACGAAATCGCACATTAAAGGATATGGTTCGAAGTATGATTTGTCAATCTACTTTACCACGATCCTTGTGGGGGGAAACACTAAAGACTGCAGTCTACATCCTAAATCGAGTACCAACTAAGGCGACTGCTAAAACACCCTATGAATTATGGACTGGGCGCAAGCCTAGCTTAAGGCATTTTAGGGTGTGGGGTTGTCCAGCTGAGGCGAGGCCTTATAGGCCAAATGAACCGAAGCTAGCTCCTCGTACAGTGAGCAGTTATTTCATTGGTTACCCGGAACGGTCGAAGGGGTATAAATTTTATGATCCCACATCAAGAAATATTTTTGAGACGGGCACTGCCACGTTCTTTGAGGATGTTGAGTTTGGGGGGAGAAATATAGTTTCGGACTTTACTTTTGAGGATCAAGAGATTCCTCAAGAGGAAATAGTCATTCCAGCTCCCATACATTTTCAAGATACAATTGAGGAGACTGTTCATTTTGAACCTGAACCTCAACATGTACATATAGAACAAACTCAACAAACTCAAGAACATACAGTTCAAGAGCCAACGCTTTTGCGGAGATCCACTAGAGAACGTAGAAATGCCATTCCGGATGATTATCTGGTATTTCTTCAAGAAAATGAGGATGTGGGTGACTTGAATGAGGATGATCCGATCAATCTCAAACAAGTCATGAAGGATCCCAACTCATATAAATGGATCGAACCGATGCGTGAAGAGTATAAGTCAATGCAAGACAATAAGGTTTGGGAACTTGTCCCATTACCAGAAGGTGCAAAACCTGTTGGTTGTAAATGGATTTTTAAGACCAAACGGGATGCAAATGGTAATGTGGAGAGGTATAAAGCACGTCTTGTGGCTAAAGGATATACTCAAAGGGAAAGGATTGACTATAAAGAGACCTTTTCTCCAGTATCCTCGAAGGACTCTTTTAGAACAATCATGGCTCTAGTGGCACATTTTGATTTGGAATTACATCAGATGGATGTAAAGACGGCGTTTCTCAATGGAGACATTGATGAGACGATCTATATGGTACAACCAGAAAGCTTCGAGGTCGATGACCCGAAGAAAATGGTTTGTAAATTAAGAAAATCCATCTATGGACTCAAACAAGCGTCTCGACAGTGGTATCACAAATTTCATCAAATAATTATCTCGTATGGTTTTGAGATGAATATTGTTGATAATTGTATTTATCACAAGTTCAGTGGGAGTAAATTTATTTTTCTGGTTTTGTATGTGGATGACATTCTGCTTGCTACAAACGATATGAGGCTATTGCACGAAACTAAGAAATTTCTTTCGAATAATTTCGAGATGAAAGATCTTGGTGAAACGTCTTTTGTATTAGGAATCCAGATACATCGAGAGCGATCTCGGGGTATTCTTGGGTTATCACAAAAGAGCTATATAGATAAAGTGCTTGAGCGTTTTGGCATGCAGAATAGCAAACCAGGAAATACCCCTGTGGCTAAAGGTGATAAATTTAGCCTAAGTCAATGCCCAAAGGGAAATTTGGAAATCCAGGAAATGCAAAAGATCCCTTATGCATCGGCAGTTGGGAGCCTAATGTATGCTCAAGTATGTACGCGTCCGGATATTGCGTACATAGTTGGTGTGTTAGGTAGATACCTTAGTAATCCTGGATTGGATCACTGGAAAGCAGCAAAAAGGGTGATGAGATACCTAAAGAGAACTAAGGATTATATGCTCACATATCGGAGATCGTTGGATATTCTGACTCTGATTTTGCAGGGTGCCAAGACAGTAGGAAATCTACGTCTGGGTACTTATTTATGTTGGCTGGTGGTGCCATTTCCTGGCGTAGTGCTAAACAAACACTTGTTACCACTTCCACTATGGAAGCTGAGTTTGTGGCGTGTTTTGAGGCATCAAACCAGGGAATATGGTTAAGGAACTTTGTCACAAAGCTGCGAATTATTCCAGAGGTTGAAAGACCTATCAAGATCTATTGTGACAATAAATCAACCGTTCTGTACTCCAACAACAATAGGAGCTCGTCTAAGTCAAAGCATATTGACATTAAGTTCCTAGCTGTGAAGGAGAGGGTACAAAGTGGTCATATTTCCATCGAACACTTAGGGACAAAATCTATGTTAGCAGATCCCCTAACTAAAGGTGTAACACCTATAGTATTTTACGAGCATACTGCTCATATGGGTGTGTTACATATTCAGGAAGCTTCACTCTAGTGGGAGCATTTGCTACATATTTTGTCATTTTTTTTCCGATGAAGTACTTATTCTGATCAAAAATAAAGTTTTGGTTCATGACACTTTGTACATTATATTATGGTACTTAAAGATCTCATTAAGTTTGGACTAGTTGAAAATTGACATGTGCTGATCACATTCATGTAATTTTCATGTCACATGTTCCACAGTTTGATCTATGTCATTTAATCATGGTGATATATGTGATTATTGATAGTTTAGCTGTATCTATTCAGCGAAAACTGCTTTAGTCCTATATTGTTGTGATTAATGGACCAGATTATTTAAGTTCTGTAATAATGACCATATTTTGAGCTCATAAGGTATAATGTATTGTCAAGACACATATTTAATCCAGTGTGAGATTGTTAGATCTATTTGGAATTAAATATGTGTAATTAATACATTGGGTCATTATAGTGTTTAGCCAAATTAAGTGATAAAATTATTGTACATTGGCTAAGGAACTTAATTTAGATTGTGGAATGATTAAATGTGGACACCCGGTAATATTATTATTTGGTGACGTAGCAAATAATAATATTAAACTAAAGGACCTAAATAGCATATAATTTGGGTTCAAAATTATTTATGGGTGGAGTCCCAAAAACCGTGAAAATAAAATGATGCACATAAGGATAAACCATACAGAATAAAATAATAACGTTGGTTGGTGGTAGTTGCCAGTTGGTAAGCTACAGACAATTTTTCATTAAATGTGATTAGTTGTCACTAATCAATAAAAAGGAAGGTTAGAGGCATCATTTGTAAACAAGTTTTTCTTTCAATACGTCCGAAAGGAAAAATAAAGAAAACTAAAGAAAATTCACGGTCTTTTGGAAGATTTCCAAATCTCAAATTCAAATAATCAACATGAATCAATCAGGTACGCTTCCGCTATTAAGTTATGATTCTCGATTATTCAATATGAAAGATTTTGAGATTAATCGATTTATTTCGAAGGTTAAATCCAATTCTAACAAGCTACCGCCATCCTTCGCAGCCAAGCTTAAAGTGCGCCGCCTCCGATCTCGAGCAAACCAACAAAATCGCCGGTCGCCGGTCGCGCCGCCCACCGCCGCTTCCTTCATCCTCACATCCGCCCGCAACTTCTCCAAAATCTGCACATAATTCCAGAAACAGCGACTGTGCAGGGAGGCAGCGACGTTGCCAGAATTTCAGTTCTGCTTCCCCTCGAATCTTGCTGTGAATCTCCAGCCGAGACGTCTCCGGGGTTCATCAGACACGTCTTGGATGGGTGATGAGGCCGCGAGCATCGAAAATTAACGATCTACTCTTCGGATTCGCTCGGCCGGATGCGAGAATGGAGAAAAAGATGTTGCCGCCGTCGCCTCCATGTTTGGGGGTGAAACTCGATTTGCCGGCCACTGGTCGATCAGCGGGGGCGTGTGGACGGACGACAATCTCCCGGGGAACGGCGGATGGCCGGGAGGTGGACCACCGTCTTATCGGGAAGATGCCGGCTAGACCCTGTAATGGACACGGGAAATTGGGATTGATTGACCTAGGGCATGCTTTGGAAAATTTGACAATCTTTAGGGATTTAATTGGAATTTACAAATTTGATTATATTACAATTTAATTTATGGGTCAAATTTATAATTTATCAAAGTTTAAATAATTATAAATTAATGTTCTATGCAATGGTTTGAAATTGCACATTAGTGGCCGTCAGAATGCTCAAACAGTGTTACACCAAATACACGTTAATGCATATAATAATGAACATTACCACAACGGTGTGTGTTTCTTCACATATATTAAAATTTTAATTTGTTATGTTTGATNTAATATAAAAATATTCAATAAAAACATAAATACTAAATATATTTTTAGTATATAAATAAATTAATAAGTTCACAATAATGTTAATTAAAAATAGTCGATATTAAAATATTCTAAAAACGAAATGTACGTAAAAAATATCGGCTCAATCAATTGCACAATAAAACTAGACTAAATGTACATTATTATACATGTTTTGATATTTCATATATTATGTATTTACAATAAAAACTCACGTAAATATTTTAAATAAAACTATTCAAATATTAAATAATTTTGTATAATATAAAAAATAAGTATTCATAATAATTATGGTAATTTGGTTAATCGGTCGAATAAACAATGTATTTTAGTTCGGTTGTAATTTGGTTGGGCAAAAGTTCGGTCGGTACAGACGCACACTAATGACTGAAACACTGCATATTAGTGATAGACATATTGCACATTGTTGCGAGACATAATGCACAATAGTATATAAAACTGGAATGCACATACAAAATACCACGATTAATAGAATGCATAATAATTTTAGACGAAATACACATTATTGTAGGTGGGGAATGCACGTTATTAATTTCGATATTTTATATGTTATGTGTTTCAAATAAAAAAAATATAAAACAATAAATATAAATATTAAAAAATATTAAATATTTTTTATAATATATCAAAATATTTGAGACTATAAAGTATTAAATAAACACATAAAAATATCAAAATACCGACGCCAACCGATTAATAATATTGTGTATATATTGACCATTTTTTCAAAATATCGACGTCAACCGAATACAAGTTTAATATATTTTTTCATACGAAAAAACATATTCTTACAGTATAAATAATATTTAATTTCAGTTATTACAGTTAATTCTATTAGCCAACCGAATAGACAAATTAATTCGATTAAATGTTAATTTTGTTTGAGACAAAAGATTGATTGATTTAGATTGCACAATATCAACTGAAATGGTGCACATTAAGGTTAGACGAGTTGCACATTACTGACTGTCAGATTTCACAACAGCGGTTGAACTATTTTTTTATTTTTTATTTTTTCTTATATTTCAGTTAACTGAAAATGCTGGAACATTGTTTTGAACCAAAACAATGTTGTGTAGATTGAAAATTCTTTCTTATCTTTTTACAAAAAATCTTATTATTATTGTATGAAAAATCAAACTCATAATGTTGTGTACAATGAGGTCTTTAATAATATATGATTGTTTGTTTGTCAAATACTATCTTATTGTACAATTTTCCTGCGTATTATAAAATTTTTATTGAATATTGCATCTTATAATATAGTATTCCTCAAATAAATATATCACGTGCCTCGCACGGGTCACGTACCATATATATCTCATACATTTTTCTGTATTCATGTATATAATTATAAGTCTGGATAAATAGCCTTAAAATTGTGCTCCTCATGCATCGCACGGGCTCTGTACTAGTGCATTCATATTAGTTTAACTAGTGTGTACCCCGTGCGATGCACGAGAACAATATTTAATTAACAATATTATAAATAGACCTCGAGTTTGAGTCACTCAATGACGGAAGTGGAAACTACTATTGATCATATTTAAAAAGAGAAAGAAAAAAAAATAAATTAAAGAGAAGGATAAACAATATTTAATAATTATAAATTAAAGATTCGGGGTCAAACAATGTAAAATTATTTTGTATAAGAGAATATAAAAAAATTTGATTACACACCATTTCAAAATTATTATTCTACTTTTTTGTATGGTTAGCTTATAATATTTGCAAAAATATTAGTAATTAGACCGATGAGAATTTGCTTCTTAAGGTAGATAATGGATTTCTAGTAGTAATTATGAATTGGTTTATATTTTATTTTATTTTTTCCTTTTAAAGATAATGAATTTCCAGTAGTAATTATGAATTGGTTTCTATTTTATTTTATTTTTTCAAATCTGTATAGATAATGGATGAGATTTTTTATACACATGAGACGTATGCAATGAGATTTTGTAACAGAAGAGATAAGCTCGTGTAGATTTATACTAAAAATAGGAAAAATAAAACAAATATTTATTGTCAAGCAATGAGATTTTGTAACAGAAGAAATAAGCTCGTGTAGATTTATATTAAAAATAGAAAAAAAAAACAAAATTTATTGTCAAACAACGGTTTTGATAAACTAAAAAACAGGAAAAAGAGAAACAAATCTTTACACAATTAATTAGCCGATTTTTTTGCCTATTCAGATTTGTCCAACAATTACTATATGTAGGATATATTTAATGAATTTGATCGGGAAAATGTTTCTAAATTTGTAAAAAGATTATTTTTTTTATATAATGACCTTGTTTGACGATCAGCGGATAGCGGATTATATTAGCTGATTTGACAAACGGATTGCATTAGCGGTTTTTAAATAAGTGTTTGGTAAATATCTGAAAGCTTATAGCTGTTTGACATTGCAAAATGACCAATAAGGATATTTTATTATTTAGGGTGTATTCTTTTAATAATAATATATTAAAACATTTAATATTCTTTAGTTGATAATTTATAAATATATATATTTTTTTTAAATTTACTAACGCTTGATGAAGAAGTTGTGAATTTTATATTTTTTTAGATAAATTAATCATATGGATGACATATTATTATTTATTAGCTCTATAAACTAATGTAGATTGTAAAATAAATAAGACAATTGAAAAAGTTATAAGTAAAACCTCTCAATTGTGAATCCTCTATCCCAAAAAGCTGCTCTAATGAGCTTTTTCTAAATTAGAGTTTTGGGCCTAAGAAGCTTATCAAATAAACTATTTATCAAACAAGCTCAATAGTGGATTTGACGGGTCAAACCTCTCAATTAAGTCTAATCCGCTAATTTATCTTCAATCCGCTACCTACCAAATAGGGCAATGATAGATAAATGCATTGCTCGTTAGGGCAGGTCACTTGTTAGTTGAGTAAGCATATCAATCTACTGAATTTGGACATAGGACGAACAATTCATATTGTTGGCCTGCCCTAAAGACCAAATACTTGTAAAAGTTGCTTG